TACTCTTGTCAAATTTCATGTCACTCGGCAAGTATATTCATGTACCCCAAGGGGAAAATATCCTACTTCTAAATATTGTTTATTCCGAAAAACTGTACTCCTGAAAGGACTACTTTGTTTGCTCTAGGACCTCATTTGCATATGGGTTGTGGAAATACCGATTTTGATTTCAGGGACGAATCAAAATAAACTGCAGTACATATGTAATAATTAACCTTATTTAAGGGAAACAGGTGCTGATATTCGACTGGGCCTTGGTTAATTGAGAAAACAGGATAGAGCATTATGTGGTCAAGTCAATCAAGGCAAAGTACTAAAAAGATTAGGGTTAAATTTTGTTGTTGAGTATATCCTCATTGTGTTGATCCTTTAAATGTCAGCTTTTGTCACCAACAAAAAAACCTGCATATTGCATATCAATTTCCAAATAGGACTTTTCTAGTGTGAAACAATAATATATTTACATTTGTATACTAACATGTAATCGTAATACACATGTTGTATATATTACTTAATTACAATTGTGTGAAATCTATTTATAGGTTCAGGAACCAGCTGATGTTATCGATAAATCCTTGAATGCTTGGTTTTGTATAGGGTTTATACAAGTGATAAAAATACTAAACACAGTACGTGAAATCCATACATTCATGTGAATTCTGGATTAATGACTGGCACCAACGAATGAGTAGAAAGTTTTGAGTATTTTTTAATCATTGAATCTGTACCTAGCATTTATATTGGCTTAAATTTCCTACATGCATGGTGCATCAAGTTTCAGTGTAATGTGTATATGTCAACACTCTTGTTGACATAAGATATTTGTGTGGTTAGAGGTGAATTTAGTATTCTATTTTAGTGGTTTTATACAAGGCTGTTGACTATTGGTTATTAACAGCTTTCCTGGCCAATCTGTGACAGTGTTACAAAATGTAGTATTTAGTTTCAAGTGAACCATTTCAAGTGTGCCATTTGAGGCAAAATATAGTTATGTGTGTCAAACATCAAATTTCTTCAAAGTGTTCAAATGAGAAGGTGAATGAGTCAGGCATTATATAGATGCGACTTTGATGGAATCTTGGTTTTACTAGGTCAGTGTGTGCTGGCTGGTTGACACTGAGGTATCACATTGAATGTCTGTGATGTCATATAATATGTTATCGCCAAACTGTGTACTACTAAACATTGCTATAATTGCATTCTTTGACAAAATACACCGTATGTATGGTTTTTAAAAGTTGATCGGTAATTGCACTTTGTGATTGTGAGGAGAGAAAAAATACCTTATTACATCTGATTTTATTATAGATTCTAGGAATACATCTATAATTATGGTTAGTATAATAATGATTGTCAAAAACAGTTACAGTTGAATTCAAATTTTGTACATCGAAGCATATGTTATTACTGCACATACATGCTATGCATTATGGGAGATAACCCCATTTATATAATGGAAAAACTTAATAAATTATTTTTCAACTACAACATGCAAAATTCATATTGATTATAGCATATGGTCTTTTCATTCCATATGTCAACATTTTGAGATATGAAGAAATAATCTCGCCTTAGAAACTATGTAAAAATGCAAATTTTGAATATTTTCCATGATATTTTGGATTTATGTATCTCAAATAATTGTCCACTGACCCCATTTGGTTTTCTCATTTTCTGTATCCTGATGGCATAAACTTATATTAATGAAAATATAAGAAACATGACATATGACCTCAAGGGTTTTTCTAGAAACAAACTGCAAGAGGGAGCACTGCAATTCAGCAGAGCCACCAAGTGGGGGAGATAGGGTTCTCCCTACCAAAGTGTGGAGTTTTTGATAATTCTAAGTTAAAATGGAGCATTCTATGGATTTCTTAGGGCCAAAATTACTATCAGACAGGTCACAGTTGAAGACTGTGGCTACATGTGATCCCTGGTCAATCAATTTTATGGTTGCCAAAGGATTCGCTCCCTCTTGTTTAAAAAAAATCCCTGTTACCTTCAGCTTGAAGCCTTTAAAGGATAAGTCAAGGCTAACATAATGC